GAATAGGAAAATAATGACAATGACAACAACAAAATAACATCCAAAAGAGAAAAAAAAAAACATGGAAAATAATGCAGAATATTTCACAGGACATACACGTATTGGACTCTCTTGGTCTAGCTTCCTGGCGTCTGTGATGAACATCCTGTTCTGTTCTCCTCTGTGGCCATATCTGGAACAGGCACCATGAAGCTTTCCCACTCAGAAGAGCTCAAAGCTTTACCAGGTTTCTTCATTGTAGTGTAAATTTAGGGAACTGGGAATGGTGTTAAGATGAAATATCCCAGGTTTTTGACTGGGACATGTATATTTATTCCAATGTAGTAATGTTAAAACTTTAATGGATGTCCAATATATTTGCTATGAGTTTATTTTGTTGGCTAGTAAACACATGAGATCACATTTATTCTTGGTTTTGGAGGTAGGAATTCCTGTTGCCTTGCTGCAAGTCTTGGTGCACTAACTATTCCTGAGGTCACAAACTAATGGTTTTAAATTGAGATAAATCAAAACCTGGAGTATCCTCCAGGCTATATTCCAGAGACTTCTTCAAATAGAGAGAAACTTCTCTCTACTAGAAAAATTACTTAGGAAACTTTTTCAAAAAACAACCTTCTAACCACTGTCTAAGACAAATTAATTAAATAAGAATTTCAGGGGCTGGGAATAGTCAGTCAGTTGGTATCTTCTAATCATTATTTTTTAATAAGCAATATGCTGCCAAACCTGAAACCACTGTCTTACCCAGATATTTGCAAGAGGTGTAAGAATACAGATTTATATTTTGCCTAATCTTATTCTGTAAGAATTCTTCTACCTCTCCTCCTCAGAATATCATAACTTAAGTTTGGATTTTAATATATTTTCTATAATGCAAAGAATTAAATTATTAATCTTTCAGTCAATTTGTGTGGAAACGCATTGACTGTAAAAATTATCTTTTTTTATTTCTTATGTCGTTAGAAACTTAAAACTTGTTTCTTTTTTGAAAACATGTAATGATAGATGTAAGAATTAATCCACACACTGCAATATTCTGATATTTTTCTAAGAAGTCCCTTAAGATATTCCTTTTATTTTAAACATACAAGTCATAAATTAACCAAATACTGTATTTTTGTTTGTTTTCTTCCATTTTCTACCCAGGAATAATTCATTCATTCAGCAACTCGGTTCTACATGTTAGGGTGTATCAATTTCAGAAATTTAGTCCTTTTACCAGATTCTTCCATGGTATCCTGAGCTGGAAACCAAAGAAATTAAATCTGATTCACTTAAACAGAAAAGAACGAGTAATTCTTAGCTCACAAATTTTACGAGAATCCTGGACAATTAGTCTAAGGCAGAAGTAAAGGGAAGTAAGGCCCAACCAGGATCTCACCACAAAATGACCTACATAATAAGGTGATATCACTGGTTCCAGGACCACTGATCATTCATCTGTGATGTAGGCAATGTGTTTTTGGAGGTTCTATGTTTCCCCTTCCAATGTATTTGATTATATCTCTTAGCTTGTAGGTAAAAACAGGCTTCTTCTTATAAAAATGTATCTGGAAAAGGCCTGATGTAAATAATTTTATCCATGGTTCTGAGTTACTCTAGTTCAGGTGAACTAGTTAAAATATGGAAATACTTCCTCACCAGTTGAGTTTAATAATCATTGTCAAAGCACTCAAAGCATCCCATATTGTACATGGGCAGTATGTGAGGTCCATCCAGCTCAAGGCTGAGCCTCCTCAGGACTAGTACTTATGTAGCAGCTGTTTTAAAATGCTCCTTTCTGAATTTCTGTATTTCATATTTATATGTAAAAGAAATGTATCAGTAGTAACAAAAATATACATTTTCTATTGAATTTTCTGATGTTAAACTGATAGATAACTAAAATTAATACACGAAAAGAGGAATATAGATTCCCATTATAATAAAATATATAGATGTAAAAAATAATTTTATTTTTATATCATTAAATACCAGTGGGAAATATCTCCTTGATTCAATTAAAGAATCAAGTAAGAAAGACTAACAATCTCTTTGACACGTAGAAAAAAATATCCCAATGAAGAAATATTTTATCTTCACAAGAAAATAAACGAGTCTAAAAGTTGAAGTGGTAAAATGTGTATGTCTGTTTTGGATTTACTGTTTCTCTTAGTCTGAAAAGAATATTAACAATAGAATTACAGCCCAATAAGTCACAGGAGAAACTTTTAAGGATGGCATATAGAAGCCTTAGGCAAAATGTGTTTACTACCTCATATACTGAGCATAGATGACATGGAGAATTTAAACTTCTAAGACAGAGGAATTATATCCAACAAAATCTGTACCTAAGTGTGTAAATGTATCCAGAAGATATATAGGAAAATATAAAAACACTTCAAATCCATTAATGTAACAGGAGAATACCTGCAGGAAGATGATTGCCTATGACACAGATATAATCCAGACCATAATGTAATTAAGCATGCTGACAACCCAAAAACTTAGAGAGAATTGATGGTCAGAGCTTAAGGATCCATTTAAACTGATAGTAGAATTGGATGACAGAGAGAAGATGGCAGATGAGAGGAAGGGTGCATTCCCCAGCAGTTCTTCAGCTCAGAATTTCTAAAGTGGGACAAGTGCTCCTCATGAGGTGGACGACTAAGGGAATTCACTGACATCCAATATTGAACAGCAAATTAATTATAGAGATATGGAAAATCAGAAATTTTGAACATAATATCTTAAGAGACACACTAGCATGGCTCGCAGTGAAGTGAGCACTACCATCTCACTGCCAAAGGGAAGGAAAGCACAGCAAGTAAAATTGGCTTAGGAACCTGTGAAACAGAGAGGGGGACTGATCTTAATTGACCCAGAGACCATGGGGGAAGTTACAGGGTAAAAAGGGATTCAAATCACTGGGCCAACACATGGAGAGTCTCATGGGTATCCAAGTTACGATGGTGGGAACTATTTGGGGGTGGCGGTGTGGCAGCAAGAAGAGGTTAGAGATTGTGAACTCATGAAGGGAGTGTCCAGTTTGACCCAGCAGTCACCTGTTTTGGGGTCCAGAGTGTGCCTGGACCAGCACTATTTAAACCGGTGTAGAGAGGACTTTGTCAGGGGTAGTATAGGCTGGGGATATCAAAGACAGAGAGTCCCCTTTATTGCTGATGCTCTATAAAAACATGTGAAAAGACTCCAGTAATGGATCAAACAGGTGCCTTTGCACTCAGGTATAATCCTCAGTAATTCACATTCCTGGGGGTGGAATATGTGAAGTCTATTAAGGTTTAGACAACTCACTCTGCAAGTAGAATTTTGGGGAGGCCCCTGAGACCCAGATATTCAGCAAAATTTGCATCTACCCAGCAACAGGAGGTATGGATCAAATCTCAAATATCCACTTACAGAGTTCCCAAGGTCAGCCAAGATCAAACCCCAGTTACTAGAATTTCCAAATCTGAAACAATCCCACTACAGGAGTATACCCCTTGGCAGCTCTCCCCAGTCTATACCATCCTGTACTGGTAAACAGGAAGTTGAGAGCTTTCTGGTCTTAATAGCTGACAGCTTGGTAATAAACACAATGACATGGAACTTAACAGCATCCAATCCAGCAACAAATATTACAAAACCCAAAAATAAATACAAAGAATGGCACAAAAGCATAAGCAATGGATATTCACCCTTGTCACCAGTTTTGACAGCTTCAGTGGAAACAATCTCTTTATTTCTCATTAGGAATTTGGTTTTTTTTCTTATTATTCAAATAAACTGAACAGGCACTTCACAAAAGAAATACCAATGGTCAAAAAATATGAAAAAAAAAAAAAACATTTAACATTGCTAGAGAAATGCAAATTAAAACCACACTGAGATTCTATCTTTATTCCAAGAATACAAGTAACAATAAGAGTTGGCAAGGATGTGGGGAAAAAGGTAAACTCAACCGTTCTGGAAAACAATATGGAGATTCCTCAGAGTTAAACATGGAATAGAATCACCATTTGACCCAGTTATCCTACTCCTCGGTTTATACCCAAAGGACTAAAAATCAGCATACTATAATGATGCAACCACATCAATGTTTACAGCAATTCAATTCATAGTAGCTAAACTACAGAACAAATCTAGGTGCCCTTCCACAAATTAATGGATAAAGAAAATGTGTTATACATACAGAATGGAATACTACTCAGCAATAAAGAAAAATGAAATTATGTCATTTGCTGGTAAAAGGATGGAACTGGAGATTATTATGCTAAGTGAAATAATCGATTCCCTAAAACCAAAGGCTGAATGTTCTCTCTGATATATGGATGCTAACCCACAACAAGAGAGGGTGAGGAGGGGAAAAGTAGAAATTCATTGGATTAGACAAAGACAAATGAAGGGAATGGAGGGAAGGGAGGGGGTGAATGGGAACAGGAAAAAGAGTAGAATCAGACATCAGTTTCCTTTGCTCATAGATAAATACATAGCCAATGTACTTCTACATACTGTACAACCATAAGAATGGGATCCTAAATAAAATGGATTATACTCCATGTATGTATGTCAAAATACACTCGATTGTCATATGTATATAAAAAAGAGAAACTTTCTCAATATAGTTGAGTAAAAGTAAGTTTTGCCATTTAACACTTTAATCATAGAAATTTTTATTGTTGGTTGTTATTAATTCTATATACTTAGTATATTAAAGTTTACATGAATGAAGAGAAGTCATTCTGTAACTGTAGAATATTGTGTCATTTTTTTTTTTTTGTACAGGGGATTGACCCCAGGAGAACTCAACCACTGAGCCACATCCCCAGCCCTTTGTTAGATTTTATTTAGAGACAGGGTCTCCCTGAGTTACTAAGTGCCTCCTAATCTGCTGAGGCTGGCTTTGAACTTGCAATTCTCCTGCCTCAGCCTCCCAACTTGCTGGGATTATAGGTTTGTACCATCACGCCCAGCCAGAATGTCGAATTAAAAAAAAAAAAGGATTAAAAAATTTTTTCCACCTTTTCCTATTTTTAAACTGAATATTTATTTTCCTATTTTAATTTATTTTATTCTATTCCTTTTAAGTTTTTTTAAAGTTATTTCCATTCTGTGTGATTATGTGTATGTGTATCTGTGTGTTCTTGCTGACAGGTTTGAAAATATATAAATATATTCATATAGTTTTTATTTCACTTTAGTTGCTCTCTTCTTCACTCATTTATTATTTAGCCTTTGTTTGATGTTGGTAGAATAAAATTTTATGTGAATTTGACTTGCTTTGATCTTATATTTGTTTTTACCTTGTTTTTTGTTTCTCTTATTAAAAATTCTTCACTCTCTTCTCTCACCAATAGCCAAACTTCCCTGCTCCTTCTTTCTTGCTTTCTTTATTTTATTACTTTTAGTTACTTTTAGTCTTCTATCTTTATAGTCATCATCTGCTCCCCATCTCCTGTTTGTCCTTTGTTCATTTTTTTAAAAATATTTCAAACTCTCTCTTACCTTCCTACCATACATTCCCTTTTTGCTTAAGGAGCTATAATTTCATATCCCATTCATATTGTTGTGATTATTAATATAGTAGATGATCTAGTATACACCTGGTGTTTATTGTCTGAACCAGTTCATGGTTGCTTGTTGTTGGTGCTAATGTTAAATACCGATGCTACCATTCCTCTACAGGTGGTAATTAAAGATGTCAAACAACAGACATTTACTATAACGTGTACATTGGTTGCAATATTGCTGTTCCTTACACCCCCTTTCTCTAATAGGTACTGGAATGTGATTAAGACAATTTAAGTTCATGGAGGGATCCTCCTGCTAAACAACAAATTCAACTCAGCAAATTAACAGCAAACTTCACATCACACATGATCTGCCCTCACTTGAGCCTGAACAATATTTCAACACATTTGAGAGTCAGAAACCCCAAACCACATAGAATCAGCTATAGGGGAACCTTATATTCCACTCTGGGACATCTACTTATACAACAAAAACAGAGAGAAGTCCCTAGAAGAAAACATATAACTATAAACCAAAGGACACATATATAAAAGAGGATCTCAAAATTGTCTCCTCCATATTCATAATCCCTCAAGAAAGGAGTAGATGAAATTTCAGTGAAAGAATATAAAAAAATTATTAAAATGTTTATGGACTAAAAGAAAATCTAAGGATGAATTAGGATGGCAAATAAAATAGGTGAAAGACCATTTTAATAAAGAAATAGAGATATGGAAAGGAAACCAGTGGAAACTCCTAGAAATGAGAGACACAATAAATCAAATTTAAAATTCACTTGAAGGTATTATCAACAGAAAAAAAATTGCATATACAATAGAACTTCAGAATTTAATATTTCAGGCCTTGAAGACAAGGGTACATGAACTTGACTATATTGCATACAATAAAGGAAAAATAAAATAAAATCAGGCTATGATCTGACTATACAAGGACTTTGCGACAATATCGAGAGAGCAAACTTAAGCCTGGCATGGTGGCACATGCCTGTAATCCCAGTGGCTCAGGAGGATAAGGCAGCAGGATCTTGAGTGTAAAGCTAGCCTGAGAAACTTAGCAAAGCTCTAAGCAACTCAATGAGACCATCTCTAAATAAAATATTTTTTTAAAAAAAGGGCTAGGGACGTGGGTCAGCTGTTAAGTACTCCAGAGTTAAATAAAAAATGGTATCAAAAACAAAACAAAACAAACCAAACAACAACAACAACAACAAAAACCTGAGAGTCATTGGGATAGAAGAGAACATGGAGATAAAACCTAAAGGCATTAAGAACATCTCCAGCGAGATAACAGCAGAAAATTTTCCTCACCTTTAAAATGAGATAGGCATCCACATATAGGATTCATATAGAACCTCAAATAGCAAGATTAAAAAAAGAACTTCTCCAAGACACATCATAATCAAAAGCCTAAAACAGAAAACAAAGAAAGACTATTATAAGGTGTAAAAGAAAAAGGTCAGGTCATTTAGAAACCAATAAAGGATCATTTCTGACTTCTAAACTCATTTCCTAAAATGAGGAGGTATCTGGAATGAGATATCCCAAGTTCTAAAAGAAAACAATTGCCAGCCAAGATTTCTATAACTAGCAAAGCTATCTTTCAGAATCTATGATGAAATAAAAACTTTTCATGAAAAAGAATAACTGAAAAAATTCACAACCACTAAACCAGCACTACAATGAATATTAATAGATATTATTACACAGAGAGACCTCAAAAATAAACCCCAAAACTACCAAATTGGTGAAGCTCATTAGAAGAGCAACTAACTAAATGAAATCCAAGATAAATTAAATGTAGCAATCAAATCAAAGTGGCAGATACCATAACACATAACACATAATAACACTAAATACAAGCAGTCTCAACTCCCTGATTAAAAGACATAGATTAGCACAATAGATTAAAAAGTAAGATCCAACTATTGCTGTTTGAAAGCGAATCATCTCATAGGCAAAGACCCTCGAAGCTGAAAGTAAAAGGATGGAAAATGTATTCAATGTAAATGGAGTCTGGAAAAAAAGCTGCAACAGATATTCTTATATATGACAAAGTATATTTCAAGCAAAAATTAATCCAAAGAGAGAGAAAACCACTACACACTAGTAAAGGAAACAATGGAACAAGATATAGTGGATAGTAAATATTTATGTTTCTAATGTCCTAATTATGTAAAAGGGAGGTGGGTTGGGCATCATTTAGACAGAGGGAAAATCAATATAGTAGAAAGAGATTGAGAGGGAGGGAGGAGAAAGGGGAGGTAAAGCCGAATGGATTGGACAAAATATTCTACGTGCACGTGCAATATACCACAACAATTTCCACCTCTGGGTATATCTACAAGTCATCAATTACAAATAAATAAATGAGTATTAAATAAACCAGTAAAGAAAGGGGAATAGGGGGAGGAGAAGTGAAGGAAAATGGGGGCGGAGTGAGTCACCAGGGACAAAAATGGAATAAGTTCAATTCCATACATGTATGATTATGTCAAAATAAAACCAACCATTATGTACAACTATATTGCAGTAATAAAAGCCAGCCCATAAAATACTCAGTGTAGATGTCACACCAACAGATGGCAAAATATATCCTTTGATCATGTCCACAAAAATATATATGCACCTATAAATTGATATCATTATCATTATTATTATTTCACATTTAGCATAGGATCAATTGATTAGACTCTCTTTTTCATTCAAACTGGTCATTTATTCAACAAAATTGAATGCATATTGGGTTCCATGAATTACTGGCCTTTTGGATAGTAATTTTTACTCATGATCCTTAAATAGCTGATATGTAATTTGGCCTTTCCCCTTGCAATTATATTTGGTTCCCCTAACTTTGGTTATCTGTCTCTCCCCATCAATGTGTCCAAATTTGTCCTCTTTTGAAGCACAGAAAATCACATATTTCACAAGCACTTTCTGATTGCACCATCTCACAAGGTGGTTTTCTCTCTTTCTACCACAGCATAATTCATGATTTCTAACACTCATCCTGACATTTACCTTTCACTTCTGAAAACTATTATATATTATATGTATTATATATCATATATTGATCCCTTATTACTTTTAAAATTTCCGTCATTTGGTTGTCCCTGAATTTTTCTTTAGAGCCAGATTTGTTTCTCTGTACATCTAAAGAAACAATGTTTAATATTTTTTTGAAATTTTCAAAGCCTAGAAAGCAGATGCTTTTTAAAAACTTGAACTCATGTTGGACAAAACTCAATGACTAATAATGATTCAGTGTACATGCCCACTTTCAAATCCCTATCTTTGTGATTCTACGAAGCAATTCACATAACATGATCACACCTTTTCTACTTGACAGCACAGATGGACTGCTTCTGGAGGTATAATGTTACTGTAAGAGCAAAAAAAAAATGTTGTCCAGTTATGGTAAGAACTACACTTGAGTTCTATCACTGGGAATAATTTCTTCCACTTTCTGCTAACCAGCAGACTGTGTGTAACTGTTTACTGGAATAGTACTTGGTAATATTCTAGTCTCTGTGCAATTGGCATACCTAAAAATAACTCTTGATTCCAGTACTCAAATTACTTCTAATCTTCCAGATTTTAGCAAATGAGATCACCATTTATATATATATATATACACACACACACATATATATATCACAGAGAGACCTCAAAAACAAACCCCAAAACTACCAAATTGGTGAAGCTCATTAGAAGAGCAACTAACTAACTAAATGAAATACAAGATAAATTAAATGTAGCAATCAAATCAAAGTGGCAGATACTATAACACATAATAACACTAAATACATACATACATATATATACATACACTATATACATACATACACACACACACACACACACACACACACCAGGGATTGAACCCAGGAATGCTTAACCACTGAGCTACATCCCCAGCCAATTTTTTATATTTTATTTAGAGACAATGTCTTGCCAAGTTGCAACGTGCCTCACTAAATTGTTGAAGCTGGCTTTGAACTTGCGATTTTCCTGTCTTGGCCTCCAGAGCCTGTGGGATTAGAGACACGCCACTGTACCTGATGAAATCATCATCATTTTTTAATTCTTCTATTCCAAATATTATTTTCATTCCCCAGCACTATCATCAAAAACATGAATAAGTGAATCTTCAGAATATTGAGAATAACCACTTGAAATCACCATTTTTATAGATTTTTAATAGTTAAAAGTTAACAATATCACAATCATTTGCCCTAATGTATCCATAATCAGACTTTCCTATCACCTTTAATGTTGCCATGCCAATCAAAGCCATCATTGTTGTCTTTGGGTAAAAAAAAAATAGCAGTTTCATTCAGATATAATTCATATACCATGCATTTTTCCATTTGAATGTGAGCAAATATAAAATGTGATCTCATGGTTCTAATGTTTTGTTTTAATAATTAGTGATGGTAAGCATCTTTTCAGGTGTTTATCAGTCATCTGTTTATCTTCTTTGGAGAGATGCTTATTCA